CATAACAAATTTAATCCAATTTCTAATTATTCGACAAAGCTTAGTGTTGAATAAAAATTGTGCTCAAATAATATTTATAGTAATAGTCTATAAAAATTTACACTTGATTTCTTCCCATTTGTTATTGTCAAATTTTATATGTGCAATAAAATTTCCATGAGGTGTCCAGACCATAAAATATGAATGAGGGTGCCTTGTAACAGCCATTTGCACAAGGCGTTGCATATAATAGGCATGATTTTTGTTTAAAGAAATACCAACATCATTGTTAATCAAATATGGAAGTTTTATACTCGGATCAAGTGGAGACAAGTAATTTATAGAAATGGGTATTTAACTTCAAGATATGCAGGTGGACAACACAAACAAGTAATAATACGATCAGGACTACCGCTAATGAAAGGAATATCTCTATCTATAAATAAACCACAATAATGCATTGCTACACCTTTATGATTGATTTCAACTTCATAAAAACAGTTAACAGCATTCTGTTCCATTTCCCGCCATACTTAATTGTGGGTATGTTTGAATTAACAAATGACATGCCAGATATACGTTGATTTAATTCCCACATATATCGGCATCAAGTTTATTTAATTTGTTCATTTTTGCCCAAACATCATAACTTTTTGATGCTGTTATAACACCTTTTCTTTACTCATACTAGTATTTGTTTTTATTTTGTCCTTTGGTCAACTGCTCAATTTCTTCAATATTTTAAAGCGTCATATGAAGTGTTATATTTTTTTCAAATGATAATATATTATATTGGTTATGATTGGTAAGATAATATATTATATTGGTTATGATTGGTAAGTGCTAATGTCGTTTACTACTTCCAAACTAAAGTCAATATCTGGTTTAGGGATAGCATTAAAAATGATGGAATTAGGGGCTATTTCTTTTAACACTTTTGCAACATCCTGAAGATTAAGTTTACTAGAATAATTAGAAATTGGATTAAATTTCTTATACAAACTGTCTACAAATGGTCTTTTTTTTTTTATGTTGAGAAAAATTTTCTCTGCTAAAATCTAGATTTTTAATTTTAACAGGTAAAACATCTTTTCGATTTCAAAACCATTGATTTGAAACCATTGTGCAAGCCGGATTTGTTAAGCCCATTTTTACAGCAGCTTCAATTCTAAACATTGCTGCAGCATCATGGTTACATGTTTGACTCATTCCGGCGCTACTCGACTTTCTCCACCTCCCCCTATTTTTATGATTGATTTTTATAGAGTACATTATACTGATTCTAAATCATATAAAAACATAGGTCTGAAAACTTGAGGAAAGTACTCTAAATTGATGTTAAAGTATAAAAATCCTCATTAAAAAACGCTAACATTCCACCATCTTTTTAAAAACATTTCAACACTGTTTTCAAAATTTAGATAATTAATTTTTTAACAAACAACCCAGTTTTTATTGTTGTTTTTATATTTTATGACGTACATACATCGACTGACAAATAGGAATTGGCGCAACTAAATGTACATGCATCGACTGACAAATAGGAATTGGCGCGATTGAATGTACATACATCGACTGACAAATAGGAATTGGCGCGATTAAATGTACATTAGCGTTTTTAATGTGGATTTTTATACTTTAACATCAAATTAGAATATTTTCCTTAAGTTTTCAGACCTATGTTTTAATATGATTCAAAATCTTATAATGTACTCTATAAAAATCAGTCATAAAAACAAGGGGGGGGGGGGGGAGGGAGACAGTCGAGTAGCGCCGCTCATTTCTGCTATACATGTACAGTGACAAGATCGGAATTTCGCATTTTTATTTTCTATAATCACAGTTTATAGCTTGTTTCATTAATACGTTGTGAATGGCTGCATTCACCTTTTAATGCACAAAATCAACTTTTCTTACTTATACAGTGATATGCGAGTTTTTGAAGCCAGCCTGATTTATAAAAACTAAAAACTCTTGAATTTTTATAATCATTTAAGTCATTTCTTCCTAATTCAGATGGGTTAAACATCAAATAATTAAAAATATCTGGATACAAAACCATTGGCCATTGTTTAATTCTGTCCTTTTCAGATAACTAACCATCTAATAAGATAAATGGATCACTGCATTTAACATTGTCAATTAAAAGTTTTTTTTGATATTCATCTTTATTTTTCAACTGCCTTGGTAACAGTTAGTACAGGCTCAATAAAGTTTTCCATTGCAGAAAATACACGAGCAACCAATTCCCTCTTTGTTCCAGGAACACGCAAATTTCGAAGTCTTAAATACTGCTTCAACTCATAAACTTTCATTTCATTAATTAAATCTAAATCCATTATGAATTTATCTTAGGATAAATAATTCAAACAAAAGGAAGGCACAATATTTGCTCAAAAATCTTTAGTACGTAAAAGTTTATTTTTATTTTACTCACACAATTTGAATCCAGACCTCAATATTTCTACGCGTTTTTTCCGATCGGATAGGTGTATTGCAATATGATAAAAAATAAGATAATCATAGAGTATGAATTTAATTAAATCCTGGCTTTTCCAATGTTACCATTTAACAACACAAACTTTAAATTCAAAAATCAAACCCTGTTTAATCTTTTTTTTTAATTTTAAGTAATGTTTAAGTTTTGCTACTTCCTATTAGGTGGCAACATGTGCATTGCACATTTTTGATTTCTGAATTTAAAGTTTGTGTTGCCAAATGGCAACACAAACACATTGCACATTGTGCAATTTCAAAATGAACGCGGCGATCCGCAATTGTTTTTTGAAAATATTGAATGTATTGTAATTTTTTTTTTTTAATTTCATAAATCGGGAAAGAAAGGGTTAACTTTTTACTTTGTTTTATACATTTTGATTTAATTTTTTACGAAAATATTTTAGTATCCCTTTTATTGAAAATGTGTAAAAAAAATTTTCTGCCATATTTTTTAAACTAACTTTTTTTTGCCAGTGTTTTGGCATAGTGATACAACTACAGCGTTAGCATAAACTCTTCAGAGTTTATGCTAACTTTAGCATAAGAGTTTATGCTAACTAAAGCATAACTTTATGCTAAAGTTAGCAAGACAGTGCGCAACCAAAGCTACATATTTATAAAAAATATTAGTTTTAATGCTTATTTTTAAATCTTATGCAGAGGAAATGTCAAGATCACGACTATGTGGTTACACTTATTGTTTTATATATATATATATATATATATATATATATATATATATATATATATATATATATATATATATATATATATATATATATATATATATATATATATATAAATATAATTACTTTTACTGCAGGCGCAGTAAAAATGGACTTTTGAAGCAAAATAAATTTTGTGCATAAATGAAATGTAAAAACTTACCTTCAATATTCCAAATGAACGTGTCAGATAGTTAGACCTACAAAAATCTCGACTTACTAAGTTGTTCTACATAAAAAACATCTACTTAAAAGTGGAACTAATTATCAGATAACCTACTAAGGCCTAAATTGTTTTCAACCGATTATAGTCTTTTTTTATTTTCAACCAAATTATGACGTTTTCATTTTCGACCGATTTATTTTTCGACATATTTTATAGATTTTCATTTTAAACCGATTTGGGATAAATTAATTTTCAACCAATTATCTGGTCTGTGTTTTTAAATTTGTTTTTTTTGAACTGCAAAAAAATTTTTTTTATTAATAACAATTAATAAGTTTTCCAAGCATTCATCGAAATAAACCTCTCGATTCTGAAGACAGCGCTTCAACCGCTGCGCCAAGACAGATCAAATATAGCTCGTATTCAAATCAGCAACAAAATATAAAAAATACAAATATAGAAAATACTGAAAGACGTAGTTATAAAATTAAAAATACAGTAGGTTAAATATTCAGTACTTTAAAAATTCAGTAGGTCAAAAATACATTAGGTAAACGATTTAGTAGGTCGGAAAATAAGTAGTACATATCTTAATTAGGTGTAAATATAAACATCAAAAATTGTCAGTTAAAAATCAAACACGTCATAATCTACAATTTACAAAGTTTCAAAATTAGGTTGAGTTATAGGCCTGCCAAATGAAATTGAGAAGTTTTCTTACCATTTATTATGTAAAACAACATCATTATAGTAATAACAGTATAAGATGTATAAAGCGGAGTTAAAACGCTTACAGCATTTTGTTATATAGAGGAGGATAATACTAAAAATTCTTAAAATATAAAACTGAAGCCCATATGAAACTTTTATTAGCTGACGTGTGATAAATATCTAAGTCCTATTTTGACAAATGAACATATCTAAAAAAAAGTCCTAATCTACCGACTTATTTATTGAATAGGGGTATGTCACAGTCCTACCCTCCTCTTACAAATATAAATGTTTTCATAGTTAAGCTATCTTTGGGTAATAAATATTTATTCCTAAAGTGTTCCAATTAAGGCATCTCCTCCCTATGTCATAAGTTTATCATAAGATAAAATTTTAATCATAAGATAAAATTTTAATTATAAACTATTGCAAATTGATTTTAAAAACAATAACAATCAATTAGAAAAAACAGTAAAAATGTAACAAACAGCCATATATAAATAGTCAAAAGTACAACTGTTTAAGAGTGCTGAAATATTAGTCACTTTTTTATACGCAGCATATTTTGTATATTGAATTGTAAATATTGCATATTGAATGCATTGTAATGTTAGAGCTAATTACATCTTTTGCGTTAACTAATTGTATTCAAATATTATAATATTTTACTTTTAAACACAAGTTGTAAATTTCCTATACTTAAATTAATCAGCAGTTTTTGAAAAATGAAAATACCATATGGCGTTTTACTTTACATAAATCCTATATATATATATATATATATATATATATATATATATATATATATATATATATATATATATATATATATATATATATATATATATATATATAGATATATATATTGCATATAATGTAATTCATAAAATTGAATCAAATATTACAACAAATTTTTTTACCCGTTTTGCTAGTGAACACGTATAAATTTCTAATATAGCCATTTTGAGCATTATGCCAAGGATTAGAAGCATACAGCTTAACATTCGATAGTTGAATAGTTTGGTTATTTACTGAGGAGTAAATTTTTGTTTTATTTATACTAATGCTGTATACAAAATTTGAATCAACAAACTCCTGCAATATCTCTACTAAACTCCATTGATTTAATGGAAGAGACTTTGTATAAAAATTTTGTACTGACCCATTAATTGAAGTAGAAACACTAAATAATCCTTGTTGTGGTACTACTGGACAAAAAAAAACAGCTGGGTTTCTATCTCCATAATTTATATAATCTCCGTTAGCTGTCAGATGGATTACATTTCCATATAATGATCGATAAATTGAAATTGGATTTATTTCAAATGAAACTACGTACTCTTCATAAAAATTTATAAATGTATAAAGTAGATTAGTGCTTTGTAACAGGATCGGCCCAGTGAAATTAAATTCTTCTAAAATTAATGAATGCCAAATATATATTTTTGTGATATAAAAATTAATTATAAAAATTAATTGATTTTTTAACAAATATAATGTGCTATAATTACTAATAATTTTCTAACTAAAATATTTAAGATTGATATAATATATATATTTTACTGTTTGTATTATTATATTAATTTTTATCTTAAAATAATTAAGACTTAATGCCTTTGTTTGTATAATGGCTCTATAGTTTTATATTAAATATCAAAATCAAATCTACAATCATGTTACAAGAAATTAATAAAATCTTTTTGGCAGTGAATATATATATATAATATATATATATATAATATATATATATATATATATATATATATATATATATACATATATATATATATATATATATATATATATATATATATATATATATATATATATTTATATATATATATATATATATATATATATTTATATATATATATATATATATATTTATATATATATTATATATTATACATTTTTATATTATTACATTTTGTATATTTTTATATTATATATAATTTTTATATTATATATATATATATATATATATATATATATATATATATATATATATATATATATATATATATATATATATATATATTTATATATATATATATATATATATATATTTATATATATATATATATATATATATATATATATATATATATATATATATTTATATATATATTATATATTATACATTTTTTATATTATTACATTTTGTATATTTTTATATTATATATAATTTTTATATTATATATATATATATATATATATATATATTTATATATATAGTATATATATATATATATATATATATATATATATATATATTTATATATATATTATATATTATACATTTTTATATTATTACATTTTGTATATTTTTATATTATATATAATTTTTATATTATATATATATATATATATATATATATATATATATATATATATATATATATATATATATATATATATATATATATATATATATATATATATATATATATATATATATATATATATATATATATATACCCAGAGAGAGAGCAAGAGAGAGAAAGAAAGAGAGGAAGAAAAAGAGGGAGAGAGAGAAAGGGAAAGTGTGTAAAGTAGTCTCATAACGCCGGCGGCTAATAATACCATTTCTTATTTTGAAGTTGGCTCAACAAATATTTAGTGACGCTATTTAGAAACCAATGTCAGAACTTCTCAGATAAATTATTTCTTAGTTAATAAACATAATATTTTGTGAACTTTTGTCTATTTTATTGAGGTTTTAGTACAATATTTTTTCATGATTGATTAAGTAATTATCAAATTATATTTGCTCAAATCAACTAATATTTTATTGCTATTTTAGTTAATTCATATTTTCAATACATTAAAAATAAGATATGTTCAATGTAAACAAAAAAAAGTTTTTACATAAAAATTGGTATTCTGGCCAAACACGCCAAATTGCAATTGGCTTATAACACCACATGTTTATTTTTGATTTTTAATATTGAGGTTTTGAAAAAACTTAAGGGAAAACAGATACTATATGAAAACTAGCTTCACACCCTTTCCACATTTATTAGGCTGGCTTAGATGTATTTATAAAACAATGTTCCCAGTTTAGGATATATAATGACTAGACAACTCATTATATTATCTCTTAACGAGGGTACAGCTTCAAAACTCAGTTTTATAGTTTTGAGCCCGGCTGGTAGTTAGGTTTCTTAAACTATGTGGTAGCTATCAAAGAGGGTGATTTCATCAAAAGCTGTAAGATATCAGAGTACTAACAGTGCCATGTTAGACATGGGTGGTGTCTCTATTTGTACTTTTGGTGTGCATTTTAAAGGTTACATTTGTAGTCTTTTGTTACGGCTTAGGTTTTATTAATAGTAATAAGACAATTGCTTGGATTATTAACTTGTGTACTGAATAATATCAGTACTTTGAGTCAAGTTTGTTGAAATATTTAAAAAGACTTAAGTACCAAAAACTATAAAACACAAAAAACCATCGTCATCACCAAATTCTCTAATACTATCATTCACTAATATTCGTGATCTTCAAAGTAGCTTATTATGAGTCTTATCTCTTCCAAAGTTCACCAGACCTACTTGATTTTAAAATGCTTAGTGAAACTAGTTTGAGTTTAATTATCTCATCTTAATAATATAAGTGTTGATGGTTATCTACTTTTAGTTTTTAATAACTCCAATAGTCACATGCTTGACTTGGGCATATTCATTAGTAAGAATTCCACCCATTTATTGGGAAACTAGGTTTGAATTCACAGACTATTCTTTTATGTGCTTTCGTTAAGCATCACTTCACTCTATCATCTTTTTTCGTTCTATATTACTCTCCATCATCACAAGACTGCACTCTTTTTGATGTTATTTTTGATCAAATTGGCCAGGTCCTTTATCTTTATTCATCACCCAAAACTGTTATTTTTGGTGATTGACGCTCATTACACTGAATGGCTTGGTTGTAGTTTCATGACTCTGCAGGTGTTAAAACCAATAACTTTTGCCTTTCTTAATCTCTAACCCAAATAGTAAACTTTCCAAATCACTTTTCAGACAATCCGTATTTTTTTACCTTTTCTACTCGATTTATGTCTTAGTTCTGATCCTAGCCAGTGCTCAGTTTCTCTACCTTCACCCTAAAGTGCTTCTGATCACGGTTTTATTTCTCTAAAACTATTATCTCATTCCTCTTCATCATTAGAATCCCCTTATTACTTTACCCCCTATTACTTATCCTGCAACTACCTTAAAGCTGACTGGGATTCTTTCCGTAATTTTATTCATGATTGTCTGTAGGTAGAAATTTTTTGTCTCCCAGCTGACAAGTGCGCTTCTTACATAACTTCTTGGATTCAGGCTGAAATAAAAACTTTTAGTATCTATCAGCATAAAAAATTACTTTCATATCTATCAGCAAAAAAATTCTCCGGAAAACAGGAGTCTATTTAATATTGCAAGAAACTATTGTAAAATATTTTTTGTTTAATGCTAAAGCCCATTATTTTACGGTCACAAAATCTTGTATTTCATCTCAAAAATTAGGCTCCAAAGCCCTCTGGAGAATCTTAAACAGTGTTAATAACAAGGGAAAATCTGTTATTCCACCTCTCTTGGATGGTTCAGATTTTTTAACCTCACCTAAAAACAAAGTTGAATTAATTGGTGAGAACTATTTATCAATCTCATTTCTTGATTCCATTAATCACATCCTACCTGAAAAAAAGGCTGAAAAATAAGCCGAGAAATAGGCTGAAAAATAAGCCGAAAAATAGGTTGATCCATTGTTTGATATTTGTATCACTCCAGCTTCTGTATCTAAAGTGATTTCCTATGTAGTCTCTTTTACAGCTTGTAGTTTAGGCAACAGACCTGTTCCAGTCTTGGAAAAAGGTCCTCCGGAGTTGTCGTTTATATCTTCAATTTTTTATTAAGTGCTTATCAGAGCTGTGGTTTCCATCCAGCTGGAAAGCGGCATTTGTTATCCCTATTTACAACTATTATCCCTATTTATCTGATAGGTCTAACTGCCGTACCATTAATCTGTTACCCCTATTTATCTGATAGATCTAACTACCGTACCATTAGTCTTCTTTCTATTATAAGCAAGGTTTTTGAGTCATTAATTAAAAAAAAGTTGATTTCTCATCTTGAATCTAATAAGTTACTTTCTGATCTTCAATATGGATTTTGATCTCCTTGTTTTACTGCTGATTTGTTAGCGGTAATAACCAATAGGTTTAATCGTGCACTAGATTGATGTAGAGAAGCTAAGGCTGTTGCTCTCAACATTACTAAAGCGTTTGATAAAGGTCTTTTCAATAAACTTTCATCTTATGGTGTATTAAGATTTACTTATGCCAAGCCTCTATTAATTGAAATGAAAGTTTTAAATATATATGAGCCTAATATTTTTAACGTTATATGCTTTATGTTTAAATGTAAAAACAATATTTCTCCTGTACCTTTTCATAATTTGAATAACAAAAAAGAAAAAACTAAGTATATTTTACGATAATGACATTCGTCAATCAGCTTATCAAACTAACTTTGGAAAATACTGTATTTCATTTTGAGGAGCATTACTTTGAAATAAAATAGTTTTAAAGAATTCTGACTTTTCTCAAGAAATTAGCTATCACTCTTTCAAACAAAAACTTAAAAAAGTCATTTTTTTGATTGATTTTATAGATGATATATCTATATTCTTTTAATTCTTTGTTTCTTTTTTAACTTTATATTTAACACTGCATTAATAAAATTTATAATTTAACAATTTGTAAATAGTTGTTTAACACTTTTGTTAAAGGTACCTTAAAACTATATAACAAAATCTTTACCAAAAAGTTTAACAATTTTGTTAAAGGTGTCTTAAAACTGTATAACGCATCTATGTATTTATAACGCAACCCTTTTTCTTTTTCTTTTTTTCTTTAAATTTGTTAATGTTTTCAATTCTTAATTCTTAATTATTTGTTATCTTTAAGTATGTTAAGTATATATTCCTGATGAAAGTTTATTTATTTTGAGAATATTTTATTAATACGAAATATTAACACGTAAATTTTTTAGCGTTTCTCGACGACAAGACCTTACGGTCTTCTACGAGTTCCCGCGTTCTTTTATTCCTTAATAACGATCATATATATATGTATATATATATATATATATATATATATATATATATATATATATATATATATATATATATATATATATATATATATATATATATATATATATATATATATATATATATATATATATATATATATATATATATATATACATTGTATAACGAATATTTATTAACACAGTTTAAGTTGTAAAATTAAAGAACAAAAAAAAAAAAAGAAAAAAAAAGTAACATCTTTAAGTTTATTGAAACCTTCCTAACCAATCGTAGTATAAAATTTGCCCTCGTTGAACACCACTTTTCTTCATTTCCT